AAGCACCTTGGCAATATGCCTGGAAACTACTTTAATATATTACAATGGCATACTAGCGAAAAATTAGAAATATAAAATATGATTCGAAGGGAAAATTTGAACTACGATGTAAGAAAATAATTTAATAATATGTATTTATTTGAAATTTTTATATTTTTAGGTATAAAAAATGAGTCAAATAGAAATGGATCAAGAAACTGTGTATGGGACCCATGAGGATAGTCATGTGGTCATGTCAGAGAAAGTGCAATCTTTGGCTGGTAGTATTTATCAAGAGTTTGAAAAAATGATAGCACGTTATGATGAAGATGTGGTCAAAGATCTAATGCCTCTCCTAGTCAATGTCCTAGAATGTCTAGACATATCCTATACTGAGAACCAAGAACGTGAAGTTGAATTGGAATTATTAAGAGAAGACAACGAACAACTTGTTACACAATATGAAAGGGAAAAGCAATTAAGAAAAGCATCTGATCAGGTATAATTGAAATTTTGAGAATATAATATTTTTTAAGAGAAAGTAACTTTTATGAATTTTTTTTATTAGAAATTATTAGAACTTGAAGATGTAGCAGAAGATGAAAGAAAGGAACTTTTATCAAAAATTGATAGTTTGGAATCAATCGTACGAATGCTGGAACTGAAGACAAAAAATTCACATGATCACGGTACAATTGCTAATGGCTCTCTCAGTTCATCCCTTCACAGAACATCCCTCTACAGTAGAGTAGAAAGTTTTTTTGTTTTATTTTTATGTAGTTAAATAATGGTATAAACATGTATCTGGGATGTAAAATATTTGCATGTATACTTTAAAAAAATTTGTTTTATTATTAAGTGCTTTATTTATTGCTATAGGGTATTTAATATATGGTGGATGATTTATTTTTATGTTATATACAATATACCTAGTTTAAATGTATCTATGCCATTATTTCTCTAGCAATTAAAAATACGAAAAAGTTTTTTATATGAAAATTATTTGATAAGGAGATTTATATTAACATTTAATGAATTTATGTGAAAAATAAATAATTAAAATGTCATTTTCGCATAACATCTACATATATATTATACTATCTATATACAATTTTATACAAAAGTATATATAAAAAGAATTTTTTATAAAACTTTTCCTACGAATTTTTATGAAAAACTTTTTCGTATTTTTAATAGTTACAAAAATAATAAGGCGTATACATTTAAATTGGACACACTATGTGTTTCTATTAAACTCTGTAAAAGTGTGTTCTGTATTATACTCTAATCTTTGCAATTAAGTTATTACGACAAATGTGAGATATGATTTTCATATTTGTTTAGTTGTTCGTCTCGAAGAAAAGGAAGCTGAATTGAAACGTGAATATACCCGACTGCATGAAAGATACACGGAACTATTTAAAACGCATGTAGATTATATGGAAAGAACCAAGATGTTAGTTGGAAGTACAGAAAGATTAGAAAATTCATCTACTGGCCGTGGCCCATCACGATTACCTTCTCTTGGTTTGACTCATATGTCTCGAAGTTCTGGACCACTGAGCTATGGTTTTCAGAGCTTAGAGGCCAGCATAAATGCGGAAGAAATTCAACAAGAAGGAAGTCCACCAAGTGCTGTTGCTAATTTAAGAACTGAAATGTTGGACAGTAGCAGTGAAGCTGCTATTGAAACATCTGATAAAAGTCAATTAACAGATAAACCAGCACAAGCAAACAAAACAACTGCAATTTCTAGACGTATGTTGTTTCTTTTTTTGAAAATTTCAAAGTACTTTGTGATATGCTTATATTCTTCAATTTATATATAGATGAGAGTCCAGAAACTGAAATACCTCCTCCTTTGGTTACACCGACATCACCGACTATAGAAAAGTTAGCTACTACTCCTAGTGGAAGAAGTAGAACAGAAAGAGAGCAACGAAGTGGTAACACATTATACCAAGAACTCAGTTTTCAAGATGCTGATGCATTGGGTGAGATGGATGAAGGAGCAGATATTACTGGTAATTGTTTAATATTTTGATGTACTTGTTTGAGTTTTATAACTAATATTGTCCTTGTCCTTAAAATCTTAGGAAGTTGGGTTCATCCCGGGGAATATGCCTCGTCGGGTATGTCTCATGAAATAACATCATGATATATCATTCATTAATCCTTTGAGTTCTCAAATTCATTTTTTTATACAAAAGAAAAAAATATTATAATGAATATAATCATTGAAGAATCGAACAGTACAATATTCGTTTTGTATTAATCATGCATGTTTCATATATACTAATGTTGACAAAATTAATGTCTAAATAAAATCGCATGTTAAATCACATATATGACAACGCGCAAATTAGAACTCTGAGGATTAATATTAACATTAAATTATTTAAGAATTAAAAGTTTTCTATTTGAATAATATGATTTTATATTTCATTGCTTACCTCCTTACTTCTGTTGGCTCTGGTCATATTTTGACTAATATTCGCATGATGTAATAACCTCCTATGCAGTCAATGACAACTTCTTTGGTAAGATACTGATATATTGCTAGTAATGAATTTTGTTGAATTTAATGATATATTGCTAGTATTTATGTTTTATTAAATTACTTATAAAAAATAATATTTTATTAGGAATGGGAAAGGAAGTGGAGAATCTTATTATGGAAAATAATGAACTGTTAGCTACAAAGTGAGTACTTCATTTATATTTTATAACAATATCTATATTTACAATATTTTATACATTATTTTTCAGAAATGCGCTCAACATTGTTAAAGATGATTTAATCGTGAAAGTAGATGAACTCACAAGGTAAAATGTCGTTTTTGAAATAATATTACAAATAAAAATTATTTTGTGATATGCAAATATAAATGTAAATAAATATGTTTAGCGAACAAGAAATATTACGCGAAGAAGTTCGAAGTTTGCAACAAGCTAGAGAACGCTTACGGCAAAAAGTCGCTGCCCTTGAAGAAGAACTGAAAAAAGTTAAAGAAGAGGCCGAGGCAGCAGCAAAAGCAGCCAAGAGTGACGACGAAGAGGATGTATCATTAGCACAACGAAAGAGGTTCACTAGAGTTGAAATGGCTAGGGTGCTTATGGAGAGAAATCAGTATAAGGAACGTTTCATGGAACTTCAAGAAGCGGTTAGATGGACAGAAATGATAAGAGCAACAAAGACTGATCCTTCTAGTATATCGAGTGGAAAAGTATCGATGTGGAAGTTGTTAGTATCATTTCATATAGAAAGAAAGTGAAACATTGAATTTGATAATAATTTACTGTTTTTTCTTTCGTTTTGTTTGCAGATTTAGCAATCTCTTCACGGGACCTGCGAATCGAGGAGCCTTAGTTCGTGGACCACACACATTACCTCATATGAGGTATAGCGCACCAACCAACCAAGTTGTCCCAGCACCACCTTTGGATACCATGCGTAGACGTACGTTGAAAGGTCGCCATGAGTTTTTCGACCAGGGAGACACCATGTGAGAAATAAATCAAATTCTTAGATATTATGACAATTTGATTTTGAAGTCTGCCAAATTATTCTCTATCTTGTAGAGACTTATTTCTTTATTATCACGCTTTCTCTAATTACAGTTTTAACATCTGTGATTGTTTTTACAACGAAAATTTTTACAAATATGCACAGTCATTACATAAACATTATGTGTAAAGTTTATTTTAACGTTTTTAACAAACTACTGCAACAATAAGAGATATTTCCTCTTGGTGGAATAGAGTTTTGATATCTTGATTTTTAATTTCTTTTTTTTTGAATCGACATCATCTTTCCAGATTAGAGTCTTCTTTGGTCAGTTGGGATCCATAATCTTTTGTCTCGAGTCTCAATTACTCTTGATCGTTCTTAAGAAATGTGAGTCATTTCTAAATAATTTGTTGCCTGAGCAATTTGCAAATGTGATGGTTTTTTAACAATTGTCGACATTACGATTTTCATCTTACTTGTCATTTTTATGAAACAATTATGGGTATATATTTTATACGCAATATTATATGTGCAGTATAAAATATTAAAAGACTGAGGATTATGATCCATTTTACACAAATCCTTTTTTGACAATCTTATTCTTACTAATACCTCTATCTATTCTCGTTATATTAATAAAATTTTAAATGATCGTCTAAACGGAACATTGCTTATATACTTATTATATAAATCAATTTATCATTTACTATTTCAGAATAGTAAATTATCAAAGTAAATTATCTGTTATCATTGCAAAGTCATGTTTGAAAAATAATAGTTTTGTAAATAAAAGTTTGTACATTTCTAAAAGAAAATAATATATGATCACTATTGATCACAATAAATAAATGAAATTTTGACTATGTTATAAACTTGGCTTTTATTTCACTCTTGCTCTGCGCTTTGATTTTTCGTTCGGGTTTCGTCCTTGCCTTTCCTTCATGGCGTTGTCAAGAGATACCTGGTTATTCTGGTTTTCGGTGGGGTGCTTATTGGCCAGCAGGTAAATCTGTTCTGCTCTATGTCTAACATTTCGTTTCTAATCGTGGATATCTATAAATGTTATTGTACAAATAACAAATAACGAACCTGAAAATTGTTATACAAGATGATGAAAACAATAATTGGATTAAAACTTCATTCAAATTGAAGAAAGTGTTCTGTGATCAAGAAAATCTTCATAGGAATATATGGTTGAACAAACAGCAGCATTCAGTAAATCTACTAACTTTATGGTTTAAAATTCTACCTTAATCATGTATATTTTAAAAGTAATTTAATAACTAACCTACTATCGATATATTTTTACAGATCTTCCGAGAAACTAGTGGCGAGACGTGCAAATGAACGAAGAGAGCAGTATCGTCAAGTTCGTGCACATGTTAGGAAAGAGGATGGACGATTGCATGCATATGGCTGGAGTTTACCAGGGAAACCAAGTGCTCCAGTTAGACAACCTGTTCCAGTGCCAGTTTATTGCAGACCTTTACAAGAATCTGAACCTGGCATGAAGGTGCATTTGTTTGTTATTAATATATAATATTTATACGTGACTAAACTGTCAAATGCATAGTTATTACCATAATTTTTCTTTTTTGTTTCTCATTATTTAGATATGGTGTGGTGCTGGTGTAAATCTAAATGGTGGTAAAACGCGAGATGGTGGTTGTATGGTTGGAGGGAGTGTATTTTATGCTGCTGAAGCTCAAGAAGTAAATACGAATACAAAAGCTGAAGCGGAAGATGCTATCGAGCATTTGGATAAGGAGCTTCAAGAGAATGAAAATCAGAGGGTTGAGGCAGAACAGTTAGAACAGCATCTTAGTTCGTTAGTATGGATATGTACATCGACTCAAAAGATGTCAAAAGTTACTGTGATAGATGCTAACAATCCAGCCGATATTTTGGAAGTCTTTAGCGTTTGTCAAGGACATTTACTTTGCATTGCAAGTGTACCTGGAGCCAAAGAGAGTGATTACGCTCAAGCTATGAATGAAGATCCAATTCGAACTGCCAATGGAATAAATGAGAACGATAACCATGAAGTAAATGCGACTTCAAACATTGAACATAATACTCCAGCATTGTCGGAAAAGAATAAAAGTGAATCTGAGAATGTATCGGAAGAACAAAATAATGAAAATGTTAAAAAGTTAGATGATGGTAATCAAAGTATCACTACTGAGACACAAAGTTTGGAAAGTGTAGATAGTGAGACGACGAATTTAGGGAAAGTACATTTCATAAAAGCTAATGCAGAGGGATCAAACTTACGATTGGACGAGAAAGAAGAAACAATCGAGCAGAAAGAAAATAAAATCGAGGAAGATACACCTATAGAAAAGATGTCTTCAATACAACCAACAATGTGGCTTGGAGCTCAAAATGGTGCGGTATTTGTTCATTCAGCTGTTGCTAAATGGTCAGTTTGTTTGCATTCTGTCAAACTGAAGGATGCTGCACTGGCTATCGTGTATGTAGTTTTTACTACACATTAAATCAATATTGTATTTTAATTCATAATCGATATGTGATATATATGATATATTTTTTTCTAGACATGTACAAGGACGAGTTCTTGTTGCTCTTGCCGATGGAACTGTTGCACTGTTTCGAAGAGGTCCAGACGGGCAATGGGATCTATCTCAGTATCATGTGATTACATTGGGTAGTCCACAACACTCAATCAGGTGCATGACGGCTGTTAGTGGTAAAACTGTATGGTGCGGATATAGAAATAAAATTCATGTAATAGATCCAGTCTCAATGATTGTTGAGGTATACTTTAATTATAATATATTTCAGTATGTAATAAACTATATAACGACATATTAAAAATATCTTTATAAATTTTCAGTGCACTGTCGATGCTCATCCACGACGGGAGTCGCAAGTGAGACAATTAGCTTGGTTGGGTGAAGGAGTGTGGGTCAGCATTAGATTAGATTCAACACTAAGACTCTATCATGCTCATACTTACCAACATCTTCAGGATGTTGATATTGAACCTTACGTTAGCAAAATGCTTGGGACCGGGAAACTTGGTTTCTCATTTGTAAGAATCACTGCGTTACTCATTTCCTCCAACAGGCTATGGATTGGCACAGGAAACGGAGTAATAATCTCTGTTCCTTTATCTGAAAGTAAGTTTGAAAAATCAATAATATTTTGTCGAAGTTGATAAACGCTTGTTTACAAATGAATAATTTATGTAAAACAGGTGCTGGTGGTTCAATGGCGGTGTCCAGAGTTCAAGCAGGAAATGCTAAAGGTGACGCGCCGGGTGTTGGCGTTAGAATTTTCGCCTCAGAACGTGGTGTTACGCCCGGCAGTTTTATACCTTATTGTAGTATGGCTCATGCTCAACTTAGCTTTCATGGACATAGGGATGCTGTGAAAATGTTCGTTGCAGTGCCTGGTATGTTCATTTACATAATTACTCGATATATTGGGCATTTATCATAATTCTTAAAGATAAATCTAATACTTATAAAATTTGTTGACTTAATATTGAAGGTCATGGCGGTCAAAGTGCAGTGTCAGACGGTTCTGAACCAGCTATGCTTGTTCTTTCTGGTGGCGAAGGCTATATAGATTTCAGAGTTGGTAAGTAATTATATTATTAATTTTTTTATTGTAGTTTTATTGTATTATTCGATCAAAGCCTTTACAAGGCATGAAAAGTTAAATTCATAATTTAATACTATGATTAGTACATGAAACATATTGTTCAATTTAATCCTTCATCTATTGTCATACTGAAAAAAAAAATTGTTATCAAGATGTTGTTTTATACAATTGTAACACTTACAGCAGATGAGGCGGAAGACGAGAGTGACGTGGCGACTCATCTGATTGTATGGCAGTTGGTCAGGTATGCCCCCAGAGAAAAATGAAAAACAATTGATGGGTCTTTATTTCGATTTATACGTTATCCGTTTGTACGATTTAATGGATAGATTGTCTTTGTTATTGATAAACAAAACCTATACTAACTAACGGTGTAATGAAATTCCAAACTAACAATTTTGCTAGTAGTTAGATACATCTCTAACCATTAAAATAATTTATTCTCGTTTCTCTTTAAAAATATCGGGATTAAGATATACACGTGTTTTTTGTATTGTTGTATGCTCTCATAATTATTGCTCTATGTTAGAACATAAGAACAATATAAAGATATTTGCTTCTATATAGCACAAACTATTGTTATAATAATTTTCATTAATACAAAAAAAAAAACTGTGTCTGCACCTTTGTTTCTCAAGCAATTGTACGTCATACAATTGTTCCGCTTCTTTCATTCTCTGGGGGTTGGGCATCTCCAGCTGACATGCATCATATTGTATAAAAGACAAATGAAAATCGCACTTCTTATCTACTTTTACTGCGCATTTTTATTCAATTAACAACATTCAGTAATTGTAAATTATTTTATGTAGGTGATGGAGAAGACACAGAAGAGACTATGGAACGATCTAACAGTGCTGTCGCTGCGAATGCCGAAGAACACGGAGAACAAAGTCATTTAATTGTATGGCAAGTGCAATGTCCTTTACCAGTGCCAATGAATGGCTAGCCTAGAAATTCTGAAAGCATGTTGATCCCAGTGTATGATTCAGCTTGAATTTCTACACGTAAATCGAGGCGTTTAAACGGTTCTCGTGAAATTGATAAATTAGACCTATCTTTTGGTCGAGCGAATGCCGCATCTATTTAATTATACTTATATAACGATTGTAGCGAAATATGCAAACGATTCTACTACGAATATGCATAACAGTGAAAGAAAAGGAGATATTGTGCAATTCTGAGGATATTAGAGATAATTTTCAATATTTCATTATGGGTGATAATTTCTAAACGAGGGGGCTTCATTTCTTTTAGGGTATCACGTTAAGCAGCATTGACAAGAGATTAACTTCTTAGATATGGGATATCTAGCGCGGAATTTTTAAAAATTGAAAGATAATTAGAATCTCTTAACGGAATGCTTATAACCCTTTTAGCTATTAACTTTAAAAACGTCCTCTAAAAGTAATTTATTGAAATATTAATTCGACGTTGCGCGTCGATAATGTAATTTATAACGGAACTTCTTTTCTTTTGACGATCATGCATGTCTTCTTTGTGCGTTCGTTGAACGAAGCACGTACCTAAGAATTAAGTACATTCGTACATAGCATGTTTTGAAAGAAAAACGTCTTGAAGTCAGTGTTGATCGAGGAATGTTGAAGCTATAAGTATTACATTTCCGCCAATATATGTGATAACCGATAAAGGTATGGGATAATCAGTCTCAAAGCTGCCGTGACATTTGCTGTAATAAAAATCAAGATTCATGGAAGTTAAATAACAATCATTGTACAATGTTCATTTGCAGGGATGAGAGGTGCAACCGGTTCAAGTAATACGTATTTAAACATAATCTATTGTACATTGTTTCTGTTAGAGAATATATTATTTTCCAAACTTGACCGGTTTGATTCGCGTAAAAAAAAAATATATATATATATATCTATATATATACATACATGGAATATAATATATTTTTTATGTTCTGCTATCTTCAAATATCACCGCGTTCGGTCACGCCTATTTTTTTCTTCGGATCTTATTAAAACATGATCTTTGAAGAACATTTCAATGAATTTGTGTACATAAACTATTGCGAGACATTTGTATAGTGTTTTACGTAGCGTGTAATTTAAGTTTTCGTCGACGAACGAGATAGACGCAAATCTGATACACCCATACGGACAAACATACATGTGAAATTATATGTTTAATCTCTCATTGGTCGCTGCAACTTTATTTTGCCGGCAACATTACACCCTTCTTATACCGTTACCAAAGACGAGGAATGATTTTATTGTATTCTATTTGTACGATTTCTAGCGAAAGATGGTTTAAAAGTTTGCGTGTTTTAACCGAGCTGTGTAGCAACCCGAAGTATAGTACAACAGCCACGTTGCATTTGGGACTTGGAAGAAAGTCGCCAACGATATTATTCGGGCTTGCGAGAATTTTTGTAAATTCCTGTGTTGTAAGCGGCGAACAGTGAAATTCAGGATGTGTACGATGTATAAGGGCTGCGCATTATTGTGTGTGAGCTCGCTTTCGATGTCGAGCTCGGAACTGTACCTGGCTCTGATGAAGCTGCAATGGCGTTAATAAAGAAAATTGCGAAACAACACGTCTCGATTTGCCCCTCTCAGCACAAGGCCTTTTGTTATATTAATCACAGAATTGTTCTTTGTTACAGTTTCTACAAGCTTTGAGTTTTTGAATTTGTCGGGGACAAGGGTCCCTGTGATTCTAAAAAATATCTGGTTATTTGGTAAATTATCCTTCAATAGCAATTGAAGATTTATCTATATGTATTTAAATGTTTTACATGTCCTTTTTTTAGATTAAAAATCAAGGCAAGGAAATTTCGAAGTATCGAATTGAAGCAAACAAGAGTGTAAGCAAGAAAACTTTACACATTCTCTGACAAAGAATTTTTCTTGATTTGATTGATCTTGAAATCTGATGAGATTAGAAAGAAAGTGCCATTATTAATTGTAAGTTCAAGTAGTATTTTTTTCGAGTAATCACGCTAATTTATAGAGACAACGATTGATTGTTTTCCGCATGAATACAATGACTGTTTATACGGGGCGAAGTTAGAGTATGGTTTGCTAACTTCATTTGCGTTGCCGTCCGAATTCCAGCCAGCGACCTGAAACTTTATATGCATGAAGTTTAGTAATAAATGGTCCCTGTAAAGTTCTCCTAGTCCTCGACGATACTGACTGCAGACAACGAGACTAGGTTAGCAAAGCAGTTACGGAGGAAACGACTTATTCAAATCCATGTTCGTGGAACAAAGGTATGATAAAGAAAGTACTCACACCATGTTACATGTTATTACACGTCACAATGCTATATCTAGATGTTGTATTACCACGTGTAATGTGTTCACGATAGATATCGTCTTCGACAGAGTTGGGCAAAAAATTAATCAAAACAATTAAATTAATTAATTGACGATTATATTTTCCACTAATCTTTAATTGTATATAATTTCCAACTTTAGTTGTGAATCGAAACTAAAGATTAAATTCCTACTTTAATTAAATTTCTACGTTAATTGCCTTTTAATTGTTCATTGCGTTAACAATAGTTAACGATTAAGTTTCTCTCAAACTTAATCATCAGTTGGATGTATCATCGAATTGCTGAAGTTCTTTTTGTAATCTTTTTGGAAATCGTATTTTCTATAATTGATTAAATTGCCCATTTTTCGACGATTAATTTCCTTTAAACAACGATTTTATTTATAAATTAAATTAATTGCCAATTTCTAAATTATTAATCGTAAACATTAACCATTTCAATCAAACTAAATATGGTCAATTAATGGCCAACTTTGATTTTCGAATATGTCACGTTAATCCAAAATCATTATTATCGTCGTGGTACATCATTTTTTATATTTTATTGATTAATATCGATAAATAAATAATTAATTGACTGAAGAACAAAAGCGATCTTGACACTGGTGACAAAAATGCTACGCGTTTAAATATTATTAAATATTTATTAACGCGAACGATTTTGAAAAATATGTAAGTTTTAAAAACGGATGAGTAAATTCTTTCGAATAATGAATCACAATATTTTAGTTCAATTTGTCGATTATGTTTTTAAGTTGGCTATTTTTAATGAATTATTCGACCGATGTTTGCTAACTCATTGTGTCCAAGTATTTTTTAATATGCATAAGATTTTAATTAAGAGTATTATCGTACAGTTTGCTATCACTGAGTTTTCTCAGCAAACTTTTTAAAACTCTAATCTTATTTTTCCAGCTTTTCAAGTATTATCGTGTTATTGTCATATTTGTTTTCCATCAATGATTTTGCAATCCAATGCGACATCTGTGCAACTTTTGAAACATAGATGAAATAGTTGCCTCTAAATAGTATTTTTTTTTTTATTAATTCAAACATTTTTTTACGATTCACATCGATATAAATATAAACAACAAATTGCAACTGGATCATTGGTTAACAAATGCAAATTCTGAATCACAAATATACACATGTACAAGTTGGATATTTTACTTTCAACAGAAAATCGTTTTCTACGATAGAATTTCGGACGTGAACGCGATGCAAAAAATAAAAAGTATATTTGCCTCGAGCATATTGACCTCGATTTTCAGTCAGTATTGAAATCAAGGTTTTGATTTCATATTCGTAACAATTCTTTCCTTGGTTTCCTATTGTTTTTACAAAAGTTTCCATTGTCGTGACTCACCTGTCTAATTTTTATGCAATTATACTAATTACGGGTTTGGAAATAAAAGAAGAACATTAGACTTCAAAGGACAAGCAAAAAGCATTTCCTTCGTTCTTTATTATACTTTTTAAAATAATTTTCGTCAAATTAGCTCGAAACAAACAAATTATTCGAGTAATCGTTGATACTCGTAGTCGTGATTTTTATAAAATTTTTGTATTGTAATATTATTATTTACGATATTATTATCGTTTGAATGAACAATAATACTGGAGTTGGAAATTAATTTGAATCTTTGGGTATTATAAATTAATTAAATTATAATAATAAATTTAGTAAAAATCGCGATTATTTTTGTGGAAAATCGCCAGTACATGGACATTGAAAGTATTTACGTGAATTCATATTCGAAGGAATAGAATAGAACAAAAAACATTCTAAGAACAAAATCTAAACAAATACTTATCTTTCACGTATTAGATATTATAATTAAATCTTAGCTATTTTATAGAATTTTACACGTGAATTCTGTACTTTTGTACTTTTAAATTTTCCATAAGTGCATAAATATCTTCAGGCTAGTTATCTGTATATAATATATAACTATTATATTATTGTTTCTTATACCAAGAAATTATTTGCTAATAGAATCAAGAAGATAAGTGAGCTTTTTAAGATTAAAGTAATGGAAATCAACATGTTTTCTTCTTTCTTTTTTCTACATAGTAACTTGCATTTTTTCTTATTTTACGTAAGATAGTTTAGTTAGCTTTTTGATTAAACCTTAAGCAACTTGGTAAAACCAAACCTTTTCTTTTCTTCAAGAATGAAATTTCTAATCTATTTTATAGAATTAAATTTAAGCATTTGTTTATAGTTTTTGATTTACTTGAAAAAGAAAATTATTTTTACTGCAAATATTTTTGCGTGAAAAAAAAAAAAGAATTGAAATTGTAGATAGTAGGTCTCGAATATACTAGAACTTTGAATTTTTAACGACGAAGCAAATTTTAAAACGCAAAAGAGACTTTATAATTTCTATGTCGATAGCGATAATCTCTATTTCTGTTTTTTTTTTTTTTTTTTTTTTTTTTTTTTTTTTTTTTTTTTTT